AAAGTTTTTTATTGGTACCAATTTTAATTGCAGGCAAAACAATTTTTATTGGCTGCTCAAAAATCTAATTTGCATAATTTATATTTTCTTACTACTTATGTCTAATACTGTGCATTATCCATTTTAATTGTTCGTAATTTGCACAAAATGTCCCTATCATACTGTATACATACTGACGACTTTTATTTCTCCTTGTATTGTGTATGCCTCTGTGTAGAAAGCATACACAGACAGACCTTTTGATCATGAACAAAAGTCATGCACAATGTTTCCCTGATTGGTTAATCACCCTGTCAAATATTCTGATGACGTAATAGACATCTTTTTTTTTACACTCCGCGTGAACTTGAGTGACCTTAGGGGAATTCAATTTACACACCTGTCAGATTATACTGTAACTTACAGCATTTCTTAAAATAGCAACACTTTTTTCAGTTTTCGATATTTATTTAAAATATTAAGTGATTTTTTGTTTGTTTATTGGATTTAATTTACGGTAGTAGAAATGCTTATCTGTGTGGGAAAGGGGTAAGGTAAGTAGATAATTGGAAAAATGCTATAGGGAAATGGATAAACTCAAGAATATGCGGAATTACATGGGAATCATGGGTAACCTGTTGCTGTTGGTACCAGTTTTGTCTGGATGACGAAATAACATACAATATAAGTCTGGCACAGATTTTAGATGCACCCTTGGCCCTTTGCTGACGATTTTCGTGTGCCATTCTCATTTTTTAGCGCCAATGGCACAGGCAGATCTCTGCATATTTCACCATTGTAGGCGATTCGCTTTCATGCAACACCTTTTGAACCATTTTCCGTACAAATTCATAATTTCTAACCTAGAGACCTTAAAATTTGACACAGTTCAGCTAGGTTCTTCTCCTAACTAACAAACTAGTTTGTTTATTTCTGATTGTATTGACACTTATATCTGAGGCTCCACATTGAGGGTATCAAAATTATCTAACTTGTCTACACTACAGTACAATGTGTCCGGACAGATATGTACATCACTTGGGGTGTTTTGATTTTATATTTTTAACATGTTATACAATATTTCAGCAACAAATGCTGAAATTTTGGATATTCTATTGTTTACTCTGCAAATGATTATAGCTGGTATATGAGTTCAGGCAATACTTTCTTGACCCCCAAATATCAACGTCAACATTCTAGAAATATACAACAAAAATATTACCATTTACGTAGGTTGAAATAAATTTATTTACTTAATTTGACTAACAACCACTGAACAAAGAAAATACTAAAAAAAGCATTTTCGGGACCGTCCGGGTTTGGTGGTTGTCTGGTTTTGGTGGTCCCAAACCAGTATATAAAACAATATTCAGATTTACATATACGTATATATAAATTTATATTTAGATATTTATTTTGCATTTTTAAACATGTAAATGTACATCAATAAAATCAATACTTAATTTCAGATAGGACATCCATAATTCAAGGTGAGTCATACTTTAAGTATTATCTAGGCACAATTTCTATCTCTAATATATATGAACAATGTTTGTTTTAACTTGTCATTTTTTTAAATATGCTATTATCATGTATTATGTGAAATGGATCACACCAGAAGCTCTTTATGTAGGAAATTTGCAAAATCGCCCCGAGCTTTCATACAGTTACTACATGATTGCCCGGAACATACAATACATTACATATATGTTCACCTTCCTCGGTCTGTTGTGATTTTATAACTTACTGATTTAATATTTTAAAAATGCAAAGTATAACATAGTACGGATATTTTTTGTTATTGCCTACATTTAACACCTATGGAAAGTAATGCCGAATATTCAAATTGGCATTGGCCAAATGACGTCACGCTTTATTAATCAAAGTGGAAAAATGAAATGAAGGATTATGTCATTTGAGTATCGGTTCATGCAAAATATACTTGTTTCTTTTTAAATACAAGGTTAATATGCTAATATAAATATATGCTAAATTCATACATGATTTCTCACACAAAATATGTCTTTTATTTCTATAGATGATACAAGCCACATTACCCAACCATGCTGATGGAACGAACAATGATATGAAGGGCGTTGCATTTCGGTATGTTTATACCGACTACTGTATATTAAATTAATAAAAACTCATGACAATTTCTCTGTAAATATACACATGCTTGCCATTAAGTTTTCGGACAAAGGTTTAATGTATGTTAAATGCAGAGAAATAACATAGGCTATTTAAAGTTTGCTGAAAAAAATGCACATTTTATACTGAATATTTCTATACTGAATATTTTTTTCAGAAACCCGTTGTGCATTTCTGATTTCGGGATCTACAAGTAAATATCAACATGGCAACATGTATTTTTTGTTTTTACCAATGTCAGATGGTTTATACATTCATCATGTTCCCATGTGTCGATATTGGTCTGAATAGTAAGAAAATCAATACACAAACATATATAAAATAACATATTTCATAAGTTATATACATGTATGATGTACATTCATATTTTACACTACATAATACTATTGTTACTGTGAAATAATGCATATACAAAATAATAATATATACAGATCTGTACGTAGATAAAAATATGCTTTCAGATTCTACAACGTTCGTATTTTGTGCGCAGGATATCCAGAATAGGTCGCAATTGTCACTCTCAGAGAGAAGGGAAGCAACAGTGTTAACCATGCTAGCGATCTGAGGAATTCAAGTATACAAGTATACGAACAATTACAGACCAAATTGTGCACCAAGACTGTACTAAAATTTATGCACAATATTTTATATTGGTGTCTATCACAAAACAATTAACTTGTACTAGCACCAAACTATGCCCTATAACATAAATGTAGTAAAATGTTTGAAACAATTTAACTCCAAATGTACAATAGTATTGTACATTTAAAGTAAGATTGTATATTGAATACATACTTATCAATGCTTTCTTATATTTGCTTATGTTGCGGCACACTGTTTTTTTCCCTCTAATTGTCAATGTCAAAGTTCACCTATTGTAAATAAAAATGTATTACTATACTGTCTGAAATACAGAACGATAATTTCAAATTTATAGAAGTGGTCTTATATGTTGTAGACTGTTATGTGTTAGTACAAGCATGATAATAACCCTACCATACATACACTTAAAGTGATTTAAGTGTACATACCGATGTGACAAAAATGTAGTTCTTGTGAATGAAACAGCCTGTATATTCGTGTTCTTTATATTTATTATCACTACATTGTTGCTTGCCAAATTAGGTAGCTCTTTGGTACAATAGTAAACTGTAATATAGTTTTATTTCGTGTGTAATTTCAACAAATGACACTTAAATGTGTATACTACAATTTCTCCATAGACCGGGCATAGTATTTTTCATCTGTAGTTTTGGTAATTGTTACTCGCTCTTAATTATACTTACTTGTTGTTGTTGTTCTTTTTGTTGCTTGAAACAAACAAATTATTCAAAATGCGTTGGATGTTCAGAATGTTAGCTAAACAAAGTGTACCTGAATTATTCAACATTTATCTAAAACATAATTTACAACACACATGTATGTCCATTTTAATTCATATGAATATTGTTGACATAATTTACAAAGTACTTCTTCATGCATAAATATGTTATTATGTATTGTTTTTACTGTAAATATACATGGAATGGATGATTTGCTGCTTATATATCGGAATTTGACTGGTTAAAAATTTTAACATAAAGTGGGTGGGGTAATTTGACATCAGTTTGTCAGAGAATTGCCCACCCAATTTTTTTTTTAAATTTTAAATGCATAAATTTTTGTATCAACATGGACAAAAATTTGTTTGTATAAAGTTTGCATGTAATAAATATGTTTAACTTATATATAGAAGTGGTTTATTTAAGTATCATCGGGAATTAACATATTAAGCCGATTTTATAACTGAAATTTAAGGGTGTCAACTTGAAAGCTAGAATTATCACATTTCCCCTTCAGCAAAAGAGTGCAACTTTTTTCCAAATATCAAGCAGATATGGTACCATCATAAAATACCAAAACAAAAACTTTTGCAATTAGTTCTAGGTTAGCTTGATTTTCGGGCTAATTTGACTAGACTATAGGTACTTTTTCAGGTATCTAAAACTTCTCTAAAACCATTATTTAAACATAACAAAACAACATTTTTTCCCATTCCAAAGATATTAATTTATTTTGATTTGTGAAGCATAATGTGCCTTTAAGTATCTTAAAATTATCTTAAATATATTGTTTAATCGTTAAGTCCGATTACCACCGTTAAGTCTATCAGTAATTTTAATATTTTTCTTTCAGTTTTTGTTTTTGCTATAAAGCGAATCAAGTTTTATGATCTTTATCATCTAAGAAAATGTATTCCATCCTACAATGTTAAAATGACATACACTATCGTAACAGCTTGTCAACTTTTGTAAAAGAGATTATGCCAATGTCGAGATTATCAATAGACAGTAGCTTGAATTGTGTATCAAAACTTAAAAAAGGGAAAATGTTTCAATTGTCGTTGATCTTAGTATAAAACTAGTAAAACGTAAGCTTCTAACTTTTATCTTTTTAACACTACAGATCTTTATCTTCAAACATCTAAGTCATAACTCTACTTGAGGGGAAGAAATCAAATGAAGAGTAATACCAAAGAAATGAAAACATGCAAATATCATAATCACTCGGAAAGAGAAAGCTTAACTTCAAGCGGTTGTTTGATACAAATCATCCAATGTTTTTTTTAGAAATCAATGTTTCAAATATATACCCGTTACGTAAAAGACATACACATTTTAAGATGGTAGTTTGCATTTTAGATAAGGCACGTTTCAAGCCAAGAAAAAAGTAGTAATCCGTCATCAAATGTTTTTTTCCAAAATGTTTTGAATTGCTATATTACTGACCCCGGTAGACGTTTATCTTTGAAGACCCAAAAAATATAACAAAATGATTTCAAAAGCTAGTGTCATGTATATTATATTACAGTTTTAATTTTTAAGTAGACTTCAATCATAGCGATACATAAGAAAACCACTGAAAGAAGGCCAACGATATATGTCTGATTGAAGACGGCTGTCAGTCCAACGTGCTTCCACGTGAACAGATTCGTTTTCTGAAACTCTTGCCATGGTACTGTGAGACCCGCAACCCGAGTAGGGTTCCGTAAATACGGTTGTTACGGCAATCTGCTCCCCTCCCTTCATAATTGCTACAACCATATGCTTACTTCTTGCACTGCAGACATGCACTGTGAACTGATACATTCCTGCAACCGGTGCTTTGAAAATGCCAGTTTTGGAATTATACCCCTGACCATCGTTTACGGAGACTTCTGGGAAAATAAGCACCTTTCCATTTGGAAAATGTCCTACTGTGTTGGTTGTGTAGGCTTCGAAAGCTATTTTACCTGAAACAAAGTTTATTTAGATATATATTAATACAAAATTAAATTAACTAGGTGGCCTGCATTTTTTTAATTGTTCTTGTTTTTTTTATAGTTTGTTTTCTTTAACACACTTATTTTAATCTTAAATTCGAGAGTCCTTGTTCGTATGTTGAAACTCGTGGTATCAAACCACTTACTGCCTTTAGGTTATAATACCAACTAGCTAACGAAACAACTGTGTTTTTCTTAAGGTGCCTGTTCATACTCGAAAAAATCAACAAGGGTAAAA